CTTGTCCTATTCATTCACCTTCATCTTAGTGATGCGCAAGAATCATTCAAAGCAGAAACCGTAACTGCATTCATACACATTCATCATCACCGAGTGCTTACATGCTTATCAGGAGCATATTCTCTGTACGAGGTTGCTCAGTATCTTGCTCAAGGGATTCTACTTCGGACATTTTTGTGTGGAGGGTAGCCGGATCAAACCATGCAAGTCCTTTTCCGATTAAGTGGTATGACTTCCGCTCTTGCTCTGAGCCTGATCAGCCCTTCCCTTATTGTGCCATTTATTCTTAGCTGAGCAAGTCTGGTATAGGTAAGGCCAGCTCGGGGTGGGTGGTGGGATGGAAGCTGGACAGTGTGGGAGGCCTGTGGACTGAGAACTGAGTGTATTGAGAGGGAAGCTGAAATTGCCATCATGGACGGGACAACCCCTGTCATCCTCTCTATACTGAGCTGAGGCAGCTCAGGAGCACTTTCAGTTACAGACTGACCCAGCCCCGAGCCTCAAAGCGGTTTGGAGGGACGTTTGTACCATCTGCCATCAGACGGTAGACACCCAGTACCTCCAACCCCCGCAGACAAAGACTGGTTTTAATTAAACCTAACCTATATTATTTATCTTAAATTGCACATGTACAGTTTAGTTTTTTTTTAGTCAAGCTGCTTAAAATATTTTGCATTGCATTTATATTTTCTATTATATTTTGTAATATTCTTATTGTGATACTATTGTATGTACACTGTACTCTATTTATTGCACTATATTCCCCAATGCTGCTGTGTGTAACTTGAATTTCTCCTACAAGGAAATTAATAAAGGTATATCTTATCTTATCTTATCTTATCTTATCTCAGCACACTGCAGTGTCAGTCAGTCAATCAGTGATGTTCCAAAGCTTCGAGACTCTGCTGTGAGTTTGTACTGTAGCCTGAAGGACCGTTTTCAAAGAAATTGCTGAATGATGACCGTTAAAAAAACTTTAAAAAATAATTTTCAACTATTTTGTTGTAAGCTTTTTGTCACATAATATTAGGGTAAACACAGATGTTACCAGTGATACTAATTAAGGTATTGCTATTGTGCATGTTGGCTCACTGGAAAGGCTCTGCTACATTAAATGGAATGGAACCTTGAAGGTCCAGGATGTAACATTTAGGAGGATCTATTGGCAGGAATGGAATATAATTTTTATAGGTACGTTTTCATTAGTGTATAACCACCTGTACTTCACTGCTCACTAAATCTTACACACTTGTTCTTTAATAGAAAGAAAAAACTAAACACAATACTGTCACTAAAACTGTTACTAATACACTGTCGTTTGCACGTGCAGTACATTAACATTGGTAGGAATATACAGAATGTAAGATTCCTCTACTGATTGTAACTGATTCTTTATCTGTGTCATTTTTCCCAGGACATGTGATCACCCTCAAAGGTCTGAACCTGAGGGACTGCCCCATCAGTTTCCCTCCGCAACACATTGTGAACCAGGGGCTCCGGAGCATCCTCCAGTTCCTCAGGAGTGCTATGGCTAAGCGGCCCGTTAGCATGAGGAAGACCCCCCCAGGTGAATCAAAATGCACCTTCACAATGCAGCAGCGTGTTCAGTATGCATATGCGTTCCAGCCATCTGCTCATTTTGTCAAAGATAGGACGACTGGCCACAAAAATAGCTCTTTGCCCTGGTACCACTTCACTGGTGTGACTTCTGTTGCCTTGGAGACGGCGCGTGCTACTCGGCTGACTCCTTTTTCCCCCCCGCTTGTTCCAGCTCTGTAATATTTTTAGCCAGATGAAAATGATCGATAACCTCTGGGCTCTAAACAGGAGCTCTCTGTCACTAAGCACTGTCTGAAGGTAATCACTGTGAGAAGCCCAAGACAGCCCTCCACAGGAGAGGCTGCCGCTGCACAATGAGCGCAGCCAAACCCCTCAATCAAACCATTTATCTCCTTGCCTACAAGGTTATTAACAAAGGCAGGGCTCCGGTCTCCTGGGGGAAATCTCCTTTCAATTAATTGGCTCAAGTTTAGCAGATTTGAATAAACACCATTCATTTGCATACTGCATTGTCATCAACCTTTTTTAAGCTGCGATAACATGAAGCATTTAGCCCGTTTGAGTCATATTATGTTACGTACACGCAGCCGGTAGCCACTAAAAGCTTGCGGGCCACATATTCTGCCCTGCAATAAGAAAGGAATGTTTTATCTGCTATTAATGGTTATATAAATCTGTTGGTAAACCACTGGCACATCTTTGCTGCAGTTGGACAATAATATCAGATAGTCAACCAGTTACTGTTATAGCTGCAGACAACAACCATTGTCGCCAGTATTGGCTGCCCCTAACGTTATACTTGTTGCTGCCGTGCTTGTATCAGTGGTAGAGTTGCCAGTGGTGGAGAAGCTCCAGCTGTCAGAGCTGATGGGGTCCAGTATGGAGGAGCAGGATGAGTCAGTGGATGAGGACGAGCTGCAGAAATTCAAGGAACTCAAACAGAAGATGATCCTGCTGGACAAAGCTGAGCTGGGCTCAGTAGCACGGGGGGATGGAAACACAAAGTCATGTCTTCTTGCTATTACCAAAAGGTAAGCAAAGTGAAAGTGTTTGTGTGAAAGGAATAAGAGGGTTTTGAAGTGAAAAGACATTTTAGGATATACACTTATTTCTAAGATTTATACCACCTTCATATTTGTACATTGACTATGAAGCTACAGCCAGGAGATGGTTAGCTTAGCCTAGCATAAAGACTGGAAACAAGGGGAAACAGCTAGCCTGGCTCTATCCAAAGGTGAAAAAGTCTACGAGCTCCTCTAATGCTCGCTAATGATTAAATTAAACTAATTATACCTCGACAGGGACCAGTGACTTCCTGGAGTTGCCTGACAACTGGTCCGGCAGTCACACACAACAGTCACACACAACCCCCCGTAAAACAACAGATTGTCGTTTTTACACTTCAGTTCTTAAGGATTGAGCAAGCGAGATATAATTAGTGAGCTTTAGAGGTGTCGGTAGGTGGATTTTGTTACTGTTGGACATCTGAAAGCCAACTGTTTCCGGTCTTTATGCTAAGCTAAGCAAACCGGTTGCTGGCTTTAGCTTCATGTTTGACAGACAGACATGAGAGTGGTATTGATCTTCTGATCTCTCAGCCAGAGAGCGAAAGAGTATGTATTTACCTGCACACGCTCAGAGAGAACACAGTGACTAGTTATTTAATTGCTCCTGCCATTGTTTTTGTACAATGCATCCAGGCAGCAAATATCTGTTGGGCATACCTCATTTTTCACCTGTTCAAAAACACTGTGCAATGAAGTTTGAAAGTGTTAATGCTATCCAATAGTAGGACAGAGGAGGTGAATTGGTTTTTGTTTCAGTAGATTACTTTTGTGCTGAGGTTTGGACTCGTGGTGAAGGGCCAAATACATGGCATTGTGCCTTGGAAAAGGATAGCAAAACACTTTTTAATGACATTCTCTGCAGCAGAGACCGAGTGATAAAAATCTCCCAGGCTGTCTCCGCTGGGACTCAGAGCTCAGGAGAGCAATAAAAATAAAGCATTTTGTTTCAATTTATTCGTCAGAAAAAAGGCAACTACCAAGGCCGGCATAATTCCTGAGCTCCCTCTGTTTGACACTCAGCATTGGAAGAGGCCAGAAGAAAAGAAACAGGCTGCGATGAAAGAGCTGAAAGAGAAACAAGCTCTTCTCGAGCAGAGAAGAACGTAAGTTGATTTCTGCTATAAGATAAAATTCAACATAATAAATACCCTATTCACCCTCTTGCTGCACTACAGGTTGAACAGTAAATTACACTGCATGGATTGTGCAGAATATCCATGCCAGGTAATACCAAAGATAAGACAACATGTTGTTTCAGGGCTAATTGGCATTTACCCAGGTGACCCACAGTAAGGAATCCATATTATGTTCACTGTGTAACGATAGAAAGAATAATCAATGTTTACAGACCCCTTTGCAACCATTTAGACACAATAGCCCGAGAACCATTTTCCTTGACTTAGATCTATTACAGTGCATTGTTATCTGGCTCTCCCGCAGAAGTCAAGAGGCTCTTCGGAAGTGGGACACACAAGCCCAAACCACACAGGAGAAGAAAATGTCTGAGCGCAAGCAGAAGGCGCATGAAAGACAAAGAAAACGAGAGGTATGTGTGGAATAAATCACCAACACTACCACCTGTCAACCCTGCAAACCACCAGGGGGCAGTAGAGCACCACTTCTGTCACACTGGAGCCAGAGCTCTAACAATAGATATGAAATTACCACAAGATAAAACATTTTGATGCCAGTAAGTGACTTCTCAGGCAGTAGCTGTCGAGGGCAGCAACAGATGCCGGTGCTTGTGACGGAGTGCGCAGTGTGAGTGATCACACAGCAGCAGCATAAAGCTATCACAGCTGATGTATACATGCAGGCTCGCCCAAACTGTAGACAATGCAGACGGATGGTTGGGAGTGATTTGACTGTCAGATGCATTTCCATGCATACAGCTGAAGAGCGGCTGGTAATGTTTGCACTGGAGCAGCAACATGAGTGTAAATCTTCACTGAAAAACATCACAAAAACCAACCCCCTTTGGGTAATGTGACACAATGTGGTTGTTATGTTGCAGCTATGCCACTGCAGCTGTAGGCTGTGTTGTTTTTAGGATGTGTCGCAACAGCTGTATCATCCCATATGTACACAAACACAGCTCTCTAGAATAAAATGTGGCCGTACATGATAATAAACATTTCCCCTCTGTGTTACAGGAAGTAGAAACCGATTCCGAGCCCGATGATGAGGACAGAAGTGATGCTTCTCGGATTCAGATGCCTGGCTTTTCTGTCCCTGAGTGGGAGGAGGACAGGTAAATGAGAACTCTGGGTGACCAAAATAATGTCTACTACAGACCAAAAAACTATTACATAACCTGGAAGCTGAGCCAGTATAAGAATGAGACCTGCTGCATTGGCCAGGAATGTTCTTTTAGTTTGTTATGTCAGTATTATGGATGTAACAATATACAAAATATATGTTCTTTATCAAATCAAAGAATCCTTTTTTATTTCTGCAGTAGACTATAAACTGCAAAACAATGAATATTTACTTTTCTTTGTAAAAGTGATTGAATTTGAATCTTCACATATTTGCATCGTGATATATCTTTACATTCCTAGTCAGTGTGACTGGTAGCTGTAACACTGAATGTACAAAGTTACTGGGGACATTTTCCTAATATTCACTCAACATCTGACATATCTCAGAGTTGAAATATCCCTCACCAAAACTTGAATGCTTCTGTTCTATCTCCATTACCTCCTCTGTGATGGGTACAGATTTAATAAGGGAAAATCAATAATTCATAATGGTTTTTCATCTCATCGGTATGCCTGATGAAAAGACTGCTGTACATACTGAGTCTGTGATATCTTGAACATTTGGTGATACAGAATATTGTGATCCATATAGGTACAGAGACAACAGGTCTTTTTGGCATGCTGCATTATCTAGAATTGCCATGCAGATGCAGGTGGGAAGCTACAGACACCTAGTGGACAAAGAGAGACTATACACCCACCATACATCAGCAGTTTCTTTTGTTCTTCTTTAGCAACATTGTGCCCAAAACAGACCAACCAGATGAGATTGTACACCTTGGATTCTTCCGTTTTCAGTGATTAACTAAGAATAAAGCTTAACTAAGGAGAAAACAGCCAGTCACAGGCTTGCATTTTTAAGCAGTTGTCCATCAGACATAAAGGCTCTTACACCACTGGCCAGATGTTCAGTCTTTGGATATGAAATTTTGACCTTTGGCCCTCCAGATCTGCCCGTAGGCTGGAGCGGCAGATCTCTGCCCACGTTGAGAAGATGCAGCAGAGACGCAGTAGTCGCAGGGGCACGACCACCGAGCAGATGGCAGCGGCAGAGCAAGACGTGGAAGAGGTCATACTTCCATTATTCAACCCATCTATACTGAAGTCACTCACCAGTTATTGATCCATTGATAAATGTGTGCTTTGTTTTTTGTTTCTTCCTGCTCTGACAGATGAGGAAGTTACAGGCTCGGCTTCTGGAGAAGAAAAGAAATCGGGGAAGAAATTCTTTCACTATCTTTACTGGAGACACCTGGCAGAGTTTCCTTGAGAAACAGTGACATAGGTTATAATGGCAGTCACTCCCACACAGTTTTGTGGTATTGAATTCACGCTCATAATTGGCTGTAAAGACTAATCCCTTCACCACTGTAATGCTCTTCAAAATAAAGCAGCCGTTGCTGGGAAAGAGAGTTTTGAAATGTTCCATGATGTGTGTCTCTCTTTTACTTCCCTGTAAGACACCCATTATACAACTAGTCATGTTCACATTTACCTGACCGTGTTTACATTTAGTACCTCAAATATGTACAAAGTAAACATGGTGCTGCTACTTATGTGTCAGAAGGAAGCTATTCAGTGAAATGTTACTGGCTCACCATAAAGGTAAACCTAAGCTCAATCTACCTATTGTTTATTATCAGGTTATAGGATCGACACAACCTTTTTAGTTGCACAATAATAGTGTAGATCTGCAGCCAAATTGAGGAATTTCAGGTGTTTTTTTTAAGCAGAAATCACACTTAGTGCTCTTGTGAAAGTCTTCACAATCCATTGAAAGTGTTCTTCTAATGGAGCTGAATTCACAGACAAATGCTGATTTATTGCTGATAAAATATTATTTAAATGTGCCAGCAAACTTACATACATACAGTGTCATTTCAATTATTAATGTTCTGTTTTTTATAGCGGTTTGACAGTTAAACTTAGGAACAAACTGCAGGCGATGCAAAATAATGTTATTTGGTCCCCGCGGACACTAATAGGTGGAGATAAACTCAGAAAGGTGGGACTGCTGCCAGTACAGCTCAGAGCAGGACAACAGAAGCTGCTGCATATGTACAATATTCTCAATGGGTCTGCTCCTCAGATAACAATGATCCGTACTCAGCATTAAGTGTAACCTGTGCCTGTGTGCGATCGTGTAAAGTGCCTCCAGTGAATAATGTAACCAGAAGTTCCTGTTTTTACACTGGTGCCATGTTGTGGAACAGCCCTCTGTTACACATAAAGTCCTTACATATGAGAGGGAGTTATAGAAGTCAGGTTAGGACTTTTTTATACAGCATATATAGCTGTACACACACACACACACACACACACATATATATATATATATATATATAGCTGTATTTCTGATGGAGGCATTTTATATTTTGTGGAATTAGGTTGTTGAATATCTTGTGTTTCCTTTGTCTTCCACTTTAACATGTTATCCTTTTGATTTTTGTTTCCTTTTATGTGTCTAATAAATTAAATTTGCATTATTATTATTATTATTATTATAGTTTTCTGTTTTCTGATGAAGGTATTTGTGTAAATGTGCTTGTAAATTCTCAAAAACTCTATTGTTCTTAGTTGTTTTTATGTTAAATGTCTTGTGTTTTCTTTTTGTCTCCTATCATTTTAGGAACAAGTGTGTTACCTCTTCATCCTTTGGATTATTGTTTCTTCTGTGTCTGATAATCCAATATCAGAATAGTTCAGAATAAATATAAACCAATATAAATAAATCAAATCAAATAACTAAACCCCACTTTATATACACGTGGCTGTATATATATCTCATGACGAATGCTCCACACAAAGCTCACATTTAGTCAGAACTGTACCACCTTTTACAACATGGTACAAAAAGCATCCATATTCTCTTCCATCCATGCTCGGGGTTGTAATGGCAGTGCAGAAACAGAAACGAGCCTCCTCTCTGTCCTCGCTGCGAAAAACGGAGGCATCCCCGAGGTGAGAGGCAAAGTGAGGCAGAGGAAGGGTAGGCCTTGTCTTGGGAGACTTCTGCTCCTCCAGCAGCACAGGCAGCGTGATGTCAGCGGTGGCAGCACTGTTGTAATTGACTTGGTGGGGGCGATGGCGTCATTTTATGCCCTGGTGTAGCCTCCTGCTCCAATAGCGAAGGGGAGACGGATCTTTAGCCGACGCGACCGTGGCTCCCTTGGCCGGGATCGAGCACCGCCGAGCCGGACACTTGACGCCGGGAAACATGGAGGCTGTGGCCGAGGAGCTGCGGGCCGGCTCTCGGGTACCTGTCACTATCGATCAAATAGTTAACGATACACTGGTGGTGACGCTGACCTATCGAGAAAGGAGCTACACGGGGATATTGCTCGACTGCAACAAGAAGTGAGTGTTTATTTTCGTTTATTTTTGCCCTTTATGTGGGTTTTTTTTTTTTATCTCTGGGAATTAATTTAGCTGAAACTCTGCTAGCGGCTAACGATGCTAACCGGGCCTCCATACAAAAGACTGAGACACAGGTTAGCTCAATGCTAACAAGTCGACTTAATGGCAAGCTGGTTTTTATTCCAGCCCGAGTTAAGATGGTGAAATGCGTAGTTTTTACTGTGGTGAAATGCTTTTTATGTGCAGGTAGTTAACCCTGTCTGCAGATACTGCCAGTGACTTATTTTGAACAATAACTAATGTCAGTGGGTTCATCTGTATAGCTTATTGTTAGCCCAATCAAATACACAGCAGCTAAAACGTACTCAGTAAAAAAAAGGTAGGCCCTTTGCCTTTCAACACTATTCTGTACATCAGGTGTGTTTTCACGCATTTACACATGCACATGGTGTTTGCATGGGCTGTAGGAGTTTTCAGGAGGGATGTTTCAATTCAAATAAGCTGGAAATACAGCAGCTGTGTGGAGGAATAGCCCCACTTTTGATCTGCAGACACAATGGAAAATGGCTCTAAAGATGCATGTGGGATTGTGATGGACAACAACTGATGATGCTTTTTCTTTAAACCTGCTCCTGATGAGATGCAGTGACCATCTTAGGCTGTGTGTTTGACAAGAAAAGGCCCCTCGCTCTTGCCAGTTTAACTAGAAAACACAATCATGTGCGTACACTACAACAAAACCTCCTGTAAATGTATAATTTGACATGTATTGTTGTTCTTGTCTTGTCTTATCTGCCCCTCTTGGTGTGTCACATGTATAAGCCTTGTGTTGCTCCTGTGCACCTTAAAAGCCACTGGCTTTAGACTATTAATAGACTAACCAGAATCAGAATCTGACCAGCTTTGCCCCTTAGTATGCTTAGATAGTTTTTCATGTGAGAGCTCAAGCTGTCCTGAAAATAACCCACCCAAATGGGAAAAGGCAGGCCTTGGAATAACTTAAAATAGGCCTATATTTCAGGGCCTTGTCACTGTCAAAATTTGACTTCTTCTTCCTTTTCAGCACATGGAAATACATTTCCTGTCATTGTCTCCCACAGGCGGTATTTTTTTTAATGTCATCGTCTAGGCCTATCGTTCAGGCAGATCTCTGCATCTAGTTACACTGTACACAACGTGAAATGGCAACAGTGCGGGGGGGTGGTCATATGCCTCGTCCTTGTACTGTGCTTAACTAGCACTGCATGTTCCCTGTCACAGGCCGCCCTGTTTGTGCCGTGTCAATCACTGTGAAGGCTAATATTCAGGCTGCTTTAGGTGCACATATATATATATAAATATATATATTAAAAAAAAAAAAAGGTGAGAGGAACAAGCCCCACCAGGAGACTATTATTCAGAGGTGCCTGCCAGTTATCTCTCCTGGGGAGGAAAACAGGCTTCCCAAATGTGCACTAATTAATAATCCCACCACACATAAGCCCTGAGTAGGCACGGATGCAAAAACAAACTGAAATCTCCTGGCTCCTTCCCCTACATCTCTGAATCCCGAGTGATTCATGGGATTGTTTTTGTTCAGTCAGATGTTGGGGAAGGGGGGTTCCTGGGCATCCTGTAGTCTCTTTGTCTGCTGTCTCCTGACTAAAGCAACACAGCCATGTTACTGTTGCCTGCCAGCCACCTTTCTCAAAGACTCCTTGGCAGTTGGGCCTTCTTTGAACATGTTTTCTGGTCCCGGAGTATGAAAAAGAGCACGTAAAATAACTGGAAGAGGGTCAGTGATACTATTGCTCTGTTTGCGAGCCCCAAGGCAGCAGCAGAACAGATAACCGCCTGGGTGCTCGCGGACCCCAACCCCCCACATCTAAAGAATTTCCGCACACAGGTGACAGGGAGAGTAGTGTCAATAAGTCGCAGTCAAACAACAAAATAGTAAAATAGGTATTTCTGGTTGACCACTTAAAACTCTCAACTACTCTTTTCTTTTTTGGCCTGATTGAAAGCGTAAGGTTTTTGATTTGTTCTGTCCCACTGGCCTCGAATTATCAGACATGGTGAAATACAAACACGGCGTTACAATATCGGTCTTGTGCGGAAATTGCTTAACTAAAAAAATTCAAGAAATGCTTGTCATGTGTATCAAGAGTGTTTGTGTTGGCTTGGCTGAACTTCTCTGTAGCACTCTAATGAGACACACAGTTATTCATTTGTTGTTCCTTTTTTTTTCTCTCCCCCTTGTTTATCTAAGGTCCGGGCTATTCTGCCTACCAGATTTCGCGGCAAAACCCGGAGAGTGCCCGATACCTAAACCAGCTTGTGAAATCACAGAAGTTCTGAGTGAGGAACCGGTTTCCAAATCTCCCAGCCAGGATTCACACAGACCAAAGGATGAAAACACTCTCCCTGAAAGCAGCATACCTACTGCACCTCTTCCCTGCCCCGTACCCACACCAGTGCCAGCTGGACAGACTCCTTACCCTCCTTATTTTGAAGGAGCCCCCTTCCCTCAGCCCTTATGGGTGCGCCACAGCTACAGCCAATGGGTACCTCAGCCCCCTCCGCGACCAATCAAGAGAAAGAAGAGGCGAACGCGAGAGCCTGGGCGCATGACTATGAGTACTATCCGTCTGCGGCCACGGCAGGTACTATGTGAAAAGTGCAAGAACACACTGAATAGCGACGAGGACAGCAAAGACGGCATGAGCAACTCTAAAGCTTCTAGAAAAGAGAATGCACTACAGAGCGACGACGACGGCGATGACAAGGATACCCCCTCTAAGCTGTCGAGAAAAGAGGATGTAGTTGCAACCAAGGACACTAAGAGACGTGAAAACGGCACCAGCCTTGACAGCAAGCGCCTCAGGAAGGACAAAAGGGGAGAGGCTGAGGGGGAGAAGTTCCCCGGAGGTGACGTTATCCCCCACAGTCCTGTCATAAAGATCTCGTACAGTACTCCACAGGGCAAGGGGGAGGTCATAAAGATCCCCTCGAGAGTCCACGGCTCGGTCAAGCCATTCTGCCCCAAACAACTGGTGCAGAATGGTGTTGGAGAAAATGGCAAGACGCCTTCAGACCCCTCCAAGGAGCAACGTCACATCCTAGATGCCACGAGGTCTGGCCTCACCGTGTCCATTCCCAAACTCAAACTAACCAGGCCTTTTACAACCGTGGGTCAGGACTTGCCTTCTCCAAAGATCCGCTTGAGACCCCCTCAGAGGGAGGGTGAGGAGAGCGTGGTCGAGTATGAGGCAGAACTTGTAGGAGGCACCAGGAGACGAAGCCCCAGGGTGCCCGGTCCCTGCCTCCCCCACTCTGAAGACTCGGGGGAAGGCAAGAACTCTCTGGAGTTGTGGTCGGGGAGTTCAGGCGAGGAGGCGGAGCGCGGCCACAGCGACCTCACCCTTCTCATCAATTTCCGTAAACGTAAAGCAGATTCTTCTAGCCTGTCGGTCTGCAGCAGCGACAGTCTAGACGAGTCCAAGTCTTTCAGCTCTGACGGCACCTCACCTGAACTGTGCGATCTGGCTCCAGGCGAAGACCTGTCCGTAACCTCATCCTCTGTACCGTCACGGGAAGACTGCAAGACAGTGCCGCCGCTAACGGTGCGACTTCACACCCGCAGCATGACAAAGTGCGTAACGGAAGAGGGTCACGCCGTGGCGGTGGGCGACATCGTGTGGGGGAAGATTCACGGCTTCCCCTGGTGGCCGGCGCGCGTCCTCAGCATCAGCGGCACCCGCAAGCAGGAGACAGCCAGTTGCGAGGCCCAGTGGCCCCAGGCGAAGGTGGCGTGGTTCGGTTCGCCCACCACCTCCCAGCTCTCCGTTGCCAAACTGTCGCCCTTCAGAGAGCTCTTCAGGTCCCGCTTCAACCGCAAGAAGAAAGGGATGTACCGGAGAGCCATCCTGGAGGCAGCCAAGGCCGTGGGTCACATGAGCCCAGAGATTACATCGCTGCTTTCTCACTGCGACACGTAGGTTAGTTCATCCACATGTAGATAAATGTGTCCTTCTAAGACTTAAAACAGGGCTGGGCAATAAATGAAAAGCAGTTCTATTAATCTCTCACCTGCCTAATTTACGTCATGTCCGTATGTTCGCTTCATTAACTCTTTCTGACCCCTTCACTGCCCCTGAAAGTACAACAGCAGACCCCGTTTCCCTACATACAAGCAGCCACTCACTGTCACTGAGCAGGTGCTTGTGTCCTTCGTGTGGGTTCTTACAAACAGAGGAAGTCCAACTGGTAGTTTTACATTATGTGTAACAAACAAAGAAAAAAAACGACCCAAATGTTGTAACAGGGCTCCGGTGCATCTATCATATAAAGACAGTACAATAGGAAGAGTGTGTGTGTGTGTGTGAGAGAGAGAGAAGCTGGAGCAGTCTACTACACAGACGTTTGCAGGGATTCAGTTCAACAACAACAGGGGCATAGTTTTCTTTAAGACGTTACATCTTTAAACATACATTATGTATAAGATGCAGCGGCAAACTGAACTAAGAGATGAATAAAGAGTTGTGAAACACAGGGTCTACTAGGAAGCTAATAAAGGACACAGCAGTTTGAAAAGGGATGCATTAGTGAAGCATAAGGCAGCATTGAGGCTTTGCAGATCGGGGTGGAGATTTGATAGCACGTTAACCAGTCAGAGCACTGTATCAGATCTGCTTTTTGAATCTTGAATCTTTCTGGTTTAGCGGTCAAACTTTGAAAGTAACCTATGTATCGAGACTCAAGAGAATCAGTTGAAGTCTGGAGGCTGAAAAGAAGCGGTTTTGAGCCACGGTCTAATTGGTGATAACAGAATGAAACTGGAAAATACAACAGAACTTAATAAACTAAAACAAAGATACTGAAGCAGAGGATGTGAACTGTTCTCTGACAGATTGAAATATCAGCAGGAGCCTCCTGTTTTCCCCAAGCTGCTAATAGGAATATTAATGATATATATATATATATATATATATAATTACTGATATGATATTGTGGAAGTTTAACTGGAAGATTGTGACTCCTGAAGCTGACGGGACGCCACCAGCCAGACCGTATTACTGGAGAGGATGCGTCAGTGCTGTTAAAACAAGAGAAAGCACATTAACCAGGCAACAGACTAGCCTGATTCTGGCCTGTTATCAAGTTACTCACCGAAGTAACAGTAATTAGCGTCAGCTGATATGAACTGCCGGCGGCGACGTGAGAGTGACAGTCAGCGCCGGCTAAAAATGAGAAGCTGCTACCTGAATGTTTTGTACACTGTGACTCTTTGCTAATGAGAGGGAGCACAAAATGATTAAATGTCTGAGTTTAGTAAATCTGTATTTGGCCAACTCCGAAGTCAGAGTTGCATAATGGCGACTGTAGATCCCTGATTTGCTAATAGCATTCAATACCCTAAAGTATCCTGCAGATTGAATAAAGGAATCTAGTTAAAATCTTATGCACAAGAGTATTTGTAAATGTGGCCACTAATAGTGATGCATTCAGGTCTCATATTGCCCAGCCCTGCCCTAAGATTTCTTTCAACATATCTCATTCGATGACGTTCCTGTTAAACTTTAATTGAATGTGAGCTGAGTGAAACGGATTGTGCACCAACCTGCATATTTACACAATAATTCTGCCATGTCGAAGGCCCAGCTACATTCATGTCGTGAAGGAGTCGCTGTGTTCAAAAGCAGCAAAACAAACATTAATGCGAGCTTTAATGCGGGCACAGGCTGTACTGCCGACTGTCAACAGGAACAGCTTGTTAAAACGGCTCATTTCAGGGAAGAGTCCAGCGAATAGACGGCACCGCTTCGGCACAATGAAAGCAAAGGTATTACTGCAAGTGCATAAAACTAAGTTTTGTGCCATGTCTTAAAAGCACACTGCGGCTATGCCAAGCTTGTTCCCCTGGTTTCCTAATGCATTTTCCTCTGTGTAGCCAAGCAGCAGGTCCTCGACTCGCACTCAGAGGTTAAATATTGCCTTTGAGTGATAGGAGAGACGGACGGGCAGCTCCCAGCCCTTCTGTTTACTCTGTTATGGGCTCGGTAGCCAAGAAGAGGTTGGTTGTAGTTGAGAACATACACAGTAAGGAGTTAAGACAGGCCTATATTTGGTACTTTTTCCAGAGCTCATAAAGGAAGCGTTTCTCTTGCTCTGTCAGCCACACAGAGGTTTCAGCAGGCTGGAAAGTAGCTGACGTTCACTCCGCAGTGCATCCCGAGTCTTGGGGATGAATAACATGACACGTTGAGAACCACAGCTCTGCCAGTGCTGAGGCTCGTACACCGGATATTTGACCTGTCTTGTTTGCTCATTGTCTTTACTTTGTGCTCTTTTCTTCCTTTCTCTCTTGTGTAGAAGCCTGAGGACTGACTAGAGGACTGTTTTTTCTGAATCCTCAGACTCTGTCATCAAGACCCAGGAGGGGAGTACGTGAGGTTGCCACGGCTACTATTTATATGCCGGTTTTTTTTTTTCTTCAGTTTTTTTTTTTTTTCTCTTCTTCACCCCAAGGCCGGGTGAAAAATGCCGCCAAAGGTGGAGTGTGGTTGAGACCATGGATAAGGACGCAAAAACAAAAAAAAAAAAAGGCATCTCATGGTCTACTATGAACTAAACAATTCCTCCTTTTTTTGTTTTATTTTCTAGATCTAATCATATTTCAATAGAGCCGAATAACGACACTACAAGGACCCAAATGTATTTATTATCTGTAATGGTTTATCATGATCAACCCTTCTACTACAATCTCACAAACAAACAAACAAACAACCTCCCAGTCTGCTGCTGTCATTATCACGGCCCTGCCGCTGATGTGTTCGCTGCGAGGTCTAAACTCCGGCCAGAGGAAAGCCGGTGGCATCTTCAAAGGAATAATAATCCCCCGCCTCCCGCCCCCTTTGGACACCAGACGTTTGACCACGGTTTAAAAAAGTCTTACCCAGAATCCTCTTCTGAAAATGTGAACGGCTCCATCCAGAGACAGTAGTGACTGTTCCAGCTCTTCTAGCGATCAGTGTTCCCTCCTCGTAGCCTTCTGCGACATTAGTTGGATCTGTGGATGTATTTATACCGAACTCTATTCCTCTCCAGAATCATGTTTGTGTGTCTCTTCCATTTCATTTTTAACTTTAGGAGTGTCAGCGAACACCCCCCACCACCACCACCA